GGAATCATTTATAAACATACTTGTCACTCTTTTTTTATTTTAACTCTATGTGGTTTTTTTTGGGTAGCTTACAATTGTGGGAGTAGGCATCAAAACCTAGACTGCTGCAAAGTAGAGAGTTAGGGCAAAGACACTCCAGCTTAAGTCTGGACACCCACTTGGTTTTGGTTTCGGATGTGAAAAAGGAGATATTGACAAACATTTGCCCAATATTAAGTATGTAATCACAGCTGACAAATATGTTATTTGGGTCTAATTAATATATATTACTTGTATCATCTACATAAGGTAATTATTAATTTATTTTGGCTTCAAGACTGTTGATCTCCACATATACCTTCAAAACTACTGGTTGGTTCTCCCCTTCAGCCAGAACTCCCGATAAATTTTAGAAAGCGCTGAGCTTCTGAGCATTTTTTAAAATAACAGCTTTATGAACATAAAATGCGTACTCCATAAAATTCACTCATTTCACGTGTACAGTTAAGAGTTTTTAGTATACGAAGTGTGGTGCAAAAGTCACCACAATCCATTTTAGCACATTTTCATCTCCACAAAAAGACCCAGTTTATCTTTTGTTCCATCTCGTCCCCTTTCCATATCCCTAGGTAATCTTGTATATTTTGAGTCTGTTATATAAATGGGGTCATTATGTGGGTTTTGTGTATGTGATTTTAAAATTTTTACTCCTTAGTCAAAGGCAAGGTTCTGAATAGTTGTAGGGACATAAGAAGTTGAGTCTGTAGGGTGACTTCACAGATAGGTTAAGGTAGCAAACTGTTGGTTCCTGAGTCATCTTAGAAATGAGGCCAAGTGTCTGCCTTCCAGGGATGGAAAGTTCTAAGGGCTTACGTGCTTATTGGTACTAGTGAGAGAAGGCCTAAAGTCAGAGCAGGTTTTGGGCAAATCAAGGCCTGTCTTGAAGTGAGGTAAGACGGTACCAGAGGACAGAAACAACCGGAAGTGACCCTGCAGGCAGGAACATGAATAGTATTAGGGTGGGGGCATTCTTCCCTAAAGACCTGCTGGAGACTTATTGTTGATGAACAGAAGTATCCCAAGAGAGAAGAAATGCAAGGGTCAGTCACAGAGCTAGGCGTATATGGATTTGGGCCATGCAGTGAACTAAGGACTGGGCCTACTTCTCAGCCCACAGTGGAACCACTGGGAGCAGTGACACAGGAAGTAGCAGTGGATTCACAAGTTGGCCACTCAGGCAGTGCAGGAAGTCCTGGCTGTTGGCTCTGCTAAGGGTGCTTCTCTTGGTTCCTGGTGAGGAAAGATACACTCAAAAAGCTCAAACACCTAAAAATTAGCTCAAGAGTAAGAGAAAATCTGGGACAATTAGAAATAACACTATGATTTCAGAAACAAAAGTGGAGAGGCACCCAGGTGAGAAACCAGCAACCCAAGATGGGCGGGCTGGGAGGTACCTGCTGCAAAAGCCATCATGCGTGTCAGGACACCACACGTAGCTCCTGTGCCCATTGGCCTGGCCTCCCTTGTTTTCTGCTTTGTTCTGTGTTGGTTTTTTGTACATTGTGTGTATGTCTGATTTTTAAGGAAGGTTTACAGAAAGGTTGGATTTTCATTCATTCATTGTACAGTTTCCTCCCTCCCCCAGTCCACTTAACAATGCACCTCTTGTTCCAGACTGTTGTCATACAGATAATGCCTGAGTAGCCTTCTGCCTTATTGCCTTGCCCTGAACACCCCGACTGTTAAACTCTGGCCTCTTCCCCTTAGAAACTATTTCAGAGCTCAATCCTGAAGTCTTGGCTGGTGCCCAGCATCCTGTTGCCTTCAGTGCTTTCCCTTACCACCTGACTTCCTCACCTTTCCCCCTCCTTTCTTCTGCAGCTTTCTTTAGGTCACCACTTGGCTGCAAGAACCAGGGATTTGGGATGCCTTCTTCCCTCCCCTAAAAGTCCTTGCCAACCAGCAGAGTTCTGCCTCGGCAGTCCTGCCCAGCCTGCTCCACCCAGTGTGGGCAGCCTTGAGGGAGCCAGTCATAGCGGCTCCGAGCAAACCTCCCCCAGAGCACTACATGCTTTCTGTGTGCAGGTGCACCGTGTAGGTGTGTGAGCTCTGGTGACAGACAAGGAGTGAAGAACAGGCGTGGAAGAGAAGGAATGCAGAGGAGCTTATGGGAAGAAAGAACAGAACAGCAGTTCCTTCTAGGTGTGCTTCTAACCCAGATCCTACACACACTCAACCTCTGTATTTGCAGTGGTTTCCAGGGTGTCTGTCTGTCTGTCTGCCTGCCTGCCTCTATGTGTGTGTGTATAGACAGGCAAGGAGTAAAAATTTATATAACATTTTCCAACTCAGCATTTTCTACATGTGTGATTCAGGGACTGATTAATGATGATGTGTAACCATTATCTGTGTCAACTGCCAGACTATCCGTCACCATATCATAAACTTAAGTCTTCCCTCCCACTTGTGGTGGTATTAGGTGCCATTGAGTCAAGGAAGACTCATAGCAACCTATGAAAAACAGATCTAAACCCTGTGCTATCCTCACAATCTCTGACATATTCCAGCCTTTTACTACAATCACTGTGTCAATCCCCTTGGTTGAGGGTCTTCCTCTCTTCCCTTGACTCTCCACCTTTCCAAACATAGTGTCCTTTTCCAAGGAATAGCATCTCCTAGCAACATGCCCAAAGTATGTGAGACAAAGCTTTGTTATTTTTGCCTTCCAGAAGTATCTGGCTGCACCTTCTCGGAGAAATATGTTTGTTCTTTTGGCAGTCCATGAGATATTTAGTGCTCTTCTCCAGCACCACAGCTCAAAGCCTCTAATGCTTCCATCATCCTTACTCATTATTAAGCTTTCAGATACACTGCAAGTGATTGAAAAGACCATGGCCTGAATCAGGCACACCCTAGTCTTTCAAATTTATTATCCTTGCTCCTCAGTAATTTGGAGAGATCCCTGACTGCAGACTTTTCCCAGTGTAATGTCTCCCCTGATCTCCTGACTGCTAGTACTAAGTGAGTCCAAGTAAGAAGTTTCATTCTTTTTTCCACTTGTTATCATGTTGCCCATCAGTCCAGTGGTGAGAGTTATTTTCTGTGTGTTGAGATGCAATCCATATTGAAGGCTGCAGTCTTGGATCTCCTGCAGCAAGCACTTAAAAGTACTCACTTTTCACCAAGCGAGGTTGTATCATCTGCATAACAGGTTATTGATGAGTCTTCCCTTCCTTTCTGATCCTAATACCACATTCTTTTTTTTTTTTAATTTTTATTTTATTATTTTTGTGTGAGTGTACCGTCAAATCAGATCTGACTGGTACAGGAGGAGATTGTTCCTCCTTCCCCGGCAGAGCATCTTGTGGCTTCGAACTGTGTGCCTCTGGGATTGTAGTTGCAGCTCCTTACCACTAGGCCACTAGAGCTCCCCTACCTAATACCACATTCTTCACCTAGTCTAGCTTCTTGAATAGTTTGCTCAACATACAGATTTAACACGTATGGAGAAAAAATACAACCCTGATGCACACACCTTAATTTTAAACCATGCATGTTCCTTTTCTCTGTTTGGACAACAGCTTCTTGATCTAGGTGTGGGTTTCACATGAGCACAATTAAGAGTTCTGGGATTCCCGTTCTTCTCAATGCTAGCCATACTTTGTTATGATCTATACAGTCAAATGCTTTTGCATTGTTAATAAAGCACAAATAGACATTCTGAGATTATTTGTTTTCTCCAGCCAAGATCCATCTGACATCAGTAATGATATTCCTGGTGCCTCTTCTAAATCTGCTTGAACTTCTGACAGTTCCCTATCTATGTACAATTCTGTTTCTGAATGATCTTAAGCAATGTTTTGCTTGCATGTGATATTAAGGATCTTGTTCAATAATTTCTACATTATGTTGGGTCACTTTTCTTGGGAATGAGAACAAATAATGGATCTCTTCCAGCCAATTAGCTAGGCAAACTGTCCTCCAAAGTTCCTGGCATACACTAGTGATGCTGTGTCTGTTAGTTGAAACATGTCAGTTGGTATCCCACTGAATCTGGGACCTTATTTTTAATTTCAGTGCAACTTGAACTTCATTACCATTAGGTCTTGATCACATACAACTTCCTAAAATATTTCAGTGTTGTTTAATTCTTTTTGGTACAGTACTGTGAATTCCCTCCATCTTATTTTGATGGATTCTGGATCATTCAAGATTTTGGCCATAGCATTCTCAGTATTGAAACTTGAGACTTGAAAAAAATTTTTTTTTTCTCCATTTTTTCCCCCCAGTTCTTTAAGCTTTGGAAAGCCACCCTGGGAACCACTAGTAAGCTTTGGTTTCTAGGCATGTGCCTGTTCTAGGTACTTTAAATAAGTGGATGGTGCAGCATTTCCCCTTTAGGGACTGACATCCACCTCACTTTCCCCATGTCCATTTCTCAGAGTCGGCGCCAGGGGACCATTCTCCTGGCAGTGTTTTCGCTTGAGTGACTGACTTCCACCTTATCACATTCATCTTTCTCAAGAGATAGCTACCAAACTCCTGGCAGCGTTTGGGCCAGAGTAGGCTCTCGAGTCAGCAAAGCCTTGCTCCACCTGTACTGTAACTCTGGTCCAGTTTCCAGACAAAAAGAAGCCTTTGTGCTAATCTGCTTAAGTCACAAGCTACCTGCTGAGGGGCTGAGGTAAGCACGGAGCCTGGTCTCTAGCCTGCCAGGTGAAAGTGCTGACAGCATGCCCTCTGAGAAGGGGCTAGGATCTAGCCCCATCCATGCAATCCCCTTATCTAGAGATGAGGTTGCTGAGTCATGCCTGATTCCCTGCACCTCACTTATATCACCTGGGGGTCTCCACGCTAATGGCTGCCTGGATATCATGAGACAGCTTCAAAGCAAGAGCCCCACACACAGCACTTCTCAGATCACGAGTCACCAGACATACCACAAGCATGTAAGCAAACTCATGCACTTTATTTCTGTAGAAAGCCCCTGCCCTCTGTGCCCCTAGACCAACCTTCTAGGGCTATCGGAAGGTAGAGAAGGTCTGGGTGCCAGTGCCAGTGGCATAGGGCACCCCACGAGAGCGAATCTGCAGAGTGTGGAAGGTGAGAGGTGGGTTGGGGCCTGACGAGCCTGGGTTCAGTGACTCGGTGTGCGGTTCCATCACCGTCACCGGGACAGCGTATGACAGCATCTGGGGCCGGTCATCGTGGCGCCTCACCGTGCCTTTGCCCAGGAGGTGCAGGACGCAGGAGAGCACATCGGTACTGCTGCAGGCGGACCCCTGACCTAGGCTGCCAACCAGATCCCGGGGAGGGCACGGGCCCTTCTGCCACGCGTCCAGGACCTGTCATAGGATGGGAACAGAGAGATGATAGAGGTACCGTGCTTACCTCACCCCTAGCTTTCACTCGTCAGCAAGCTGCCAGGGCAGGAAGCCCATCCCTTACCTCCCTGCTCACATCTGCCAATTCCATAGAGAACCAGGGGCTTCTAATACATACCCTCCTGTGGACTGTCCTCCCCCAAAGCTACCTTACCCACTGTGCTCACTCCGCCTACCAGGCAAACGAGCTGGTCAATATGCAGCCCCTCATCCCCATAAGCCTTGAGGATTCGGACAATGATGCAGTTCAGGAGGTTCCGCCTTTTCTCCAAGTTCCGGCCCTCTTCATCCTCTGCTTTCAGGTATGTCTTGGGTGGGATGAGCCAGACGTTGCCCCTCCTTGGCCTTGGCTCCTCACTGTCATCTCGAATCTTGAGTACCCCTGAGAGCAGCACTGGTCACTCTGGGTTGGAAGCCCACTTGGCCCAGAAGAGATCTCTCTGGCCTCAAGTACATACCTCCTGGTGCATCCTTTTGCTCCTGGAGGTCCAAGGGGCCTCTTGAAGAAGTGAGCGGTCCAATCGCTGAATTGAGCATGTCTGGAGAGAGCCCAGAAAGCTCCAGCAGCGTCTCCACTGAGATGGCCTTAGGAAAAGATGAGCAAAACATTTAGGGCCTCCCCAGGATGGAGAAGAGAGGAGAGAGGGAAGGGAGGCAAAGGCAAAGGTTAGGGGAGAAGGGAGGAGCGATGTGGGAGTTAGCAGAGGGGCTGGGGTACCTTCAGGTCATTAAGGTACAGCAGCAGCCACATCTGCACGGTGGACACATGGAGAGTCTGATCCCCATACTGCACCTCAGCCCGGCCCAGCCACGTCCATTGTAGCCGTCTCTGTGGACTTTGCTCCATGCCAGGGTGACTCTGGCCTGGGGAAGCATCAGGGACAAGAGAGGCAGGAAGGAAGAGGAATGGTGGGTTAGAGCTGGAGTAAAGGTACAGGAATGGGTAAGGTTTTCTCCCTTTGACGTCTGCAAGGGAGTAAGGCCGCAGAATTGGTGGATACGGTGTTCCTAGCCGAATTTCTAGATGGCAACCTTTTCTCTGTCTGCCTTCCTGGTCAGCCTAGGGTCTGTGGGTCCACCTGGGCCTATCTCTGTATCAGGCAGGCTCTGATCAGTGCCTTCAAGGAGTTTCATCATGAAAAGAGGAATGATGAGTGTTCTCATCAGACCAGAATATCCCAGAGGAAAGAATTGGTACTGCCCATAAAACTGAGCATTCCCTGAAGACACTCTGTGTGTCTTCCCATCACCGAGCTTAGGATAATGGATGGTGTAGTCGGTAGCTGAGTGGTGAGGCGCTGTGTTGTCATACCAAAGGCAAGCAGTTCAGATCCATCAGCTGCACTGGTAGTAGGATGGGCAATCTCCTATGTGATTAACTGCCTCTGAAAACTCACTAGAAGGTCCACAACAAAGTTCAAGTCCATCAAAAGCTTTAACAAGATGGGCAATCTCCTCCCATGCAATTTATGGCTTCCGAAACCCAATGGAAAGTCAGCTGTGAGTCAGTTCTGACTTGAGAGCAATGAAAGTGAGATAGGCAAACACTTGCCCACAGGGAAAAGCCTTCAGGTGGCCCCTGTCTCCCACTTCCTCATCAACTGCAAAGAGGTTCCTGAGTAGTATTTTACAGAGAGACAGGCAGCAATCTGGGAACCTGGTACCTGATAGCCTCCCCACTCTATCCCTGAAAACCAAGCTCCTGCTCCCTCTCCTCAAATCCACTTCCTTCCTCACTGCCCGAGAGCTGCTGATCTCTACAGACCATCTCTCTCCACATCAAGGCTCCAGCCCCAGAGACCCAAGTCCTTTTCCAGCACCTCCCCCAACCCATTCAAAGTGCCCAGTTCCCTCCATCCGCCTGCTCCTCACTCTTGTTATAGAAGTTGGAGTATCGGTTTAAAGGTCCCCTCAGGTAGGAGGGTAGGCAGATCCTGGGGTTCAACATGTGGGAGATCGAGGAGGTGGGCCAGCAGCGTGGCGACAGGACGAGCACAGGCACTTCAGGCATGGCACCTTCGTAGTAGAGATCCTCATTCTCATTCTCCTCCTCTCCCTCAACACCAGCTTCGGCTTCCTCTCGTTCATTCTCCTGGCGGCTGGCCTCATGACCCACCTGCAGGAACACAGGGGGGCAGGGGGCCTTCTCTTGCCATCGCCTTCTTCTTAACCGTTGGCCTTCCTACTTTTCCATTTGCTCAACCCTGCCCTGACCCCTACCTGTATTTTCTTCTCTGTATCGTCCAGCTTGAGGAGTTCCTGGTCAAGCCTCTGGAGCTGGTAGACATGGAACTGGTGCTGCAGCTCCTCTGCGGTGCTCAGGCTCTGCAGCATCTGCTGGGGGAGGCGGTTGGGGAAACAGGGACCAATCTGCTCCAGCACGGCCCCCTCCAGCCAGCTTGGGCCCAGGCCCAGGAGTCGGTCCGCCATGTAGTGCCTGCAGCACACACAGGCCAGGCTGTGCCTCAGGGTGGGTGCCCAGCAAGGCCCCGGCTGCTCTGCCCAGGATCTTTGCTCTGCCCCAGAAATTGGCCCTGACCTGATCATGCTGCTTCCCTCATCTCACCCCTTTTCCACTCACTGGTAATAATGCTCAAAGGTTGTGGCCATCTCCAGGCCAGAGAACACTAGCACAGTCTCCAGGCATCGCTGCAGTTGTGCCAGCATCTCCATTCCCCGGGCTCCACCGATTCGGCTGCCCTGGATCCGCTGGTCGATTTGTCGAGCAAACTGCTCACTCACCTGGACATGGGGAAGGGCACAGGACAGCCATGAGCAGGCAGGTGGGAAAGGCCAGGAAGGCCCAGAGGAAGGCGTGGCAGCTTCATAATTGTGCAGCACATTTATATAAAAGCATTTTGTAAACTTGTGGACAATTATGAAACTACCCCTTAACAGTTACAGAATGTTCATTAGTCACATAGACCATGTCAGAAAAATTAAACCAGTAACAACCATTTAAACTAGGGAAAAAGTTCTACACACACAGATGATCACCAGACAGGGTTAATAATAAGAGATGAACGGAAAGCAATTCAAGAAGCCCCTGGATCATGCACCATCCACCCAACTTGGCTTATCAGAGTGCTCATTATCTTCGTCTATCCTTGTCTTAGTTGTGAAGCTCCCCCCATAAGACCACTTATTTTAAGAAAAGGGACTTTTTGGGGAGCTCTGGTGGCCTAGTGGCAAGACGCTGCACTGCAATCCCAGAGGAACACGGTTCGAATCCACCAGATGCTCTGCCGGAGAAGGAGGCGCAATATCCTCCTGTACCAGTCAGATCTGATTTGACGGTACACGTAAAAATAATAATAAAAAAGAAAAGGGACTTTTATCTATCTGCTCATTGTTCTATCTTCAGCTTCTATCCCAGTGCTTGACATATTTTACGTGCTACTTGTGTATCTGTTAAATGAATAACATTGATTAAGCAAATGAGAATACAACCATTAGATGGAGTTTATACAAGAACGCCTGGACAAAGAGCCATACTGACTGATATAACAGGTTTCTGATATGAGAGTCACAAGAAAGCAAGAGAAGAGGTGGTGGAAGATTTCTGGAATGATGAATGGTGATGATTAAACAACATGATAAGCATAATTAATGTCACTGTCCTTGTGAAGATGATAATGGTAATTGTTTTATTACCTGCATATTTACCATGATAAAAGAACAAACAGGAGAGCGCATTCTACCTACTCATGTGAGTAAATGATGTTAAATCATCTATAAAAACACGAGTACATCAAATCAGATTAGGGTCAGAGGCTTTGGATTTCTCTTAAGATTTTTGTTAATACAGTTACAATCACACACACACACACATATCCCCTCTGTTTAAAGAAAATCATACAGGATCTACATGTTTACTCTTGAGTGGGACTGGAAGGATGGGCCTTTTGGGGGTGTGGAGAAGGGAGCATGTGTGGGGACAGGCTTACATGGGTGGCTGTGGGAAAGGGGAGCTTCAGTAAGGCCCCTGCACAGCCATTCTGCAGTGCCAGCAAGAAGGCTGCCCGGGGTCCAAACAGCTCAGAGCTTGATTTCTGCAGCTTATCAAAGTGTTCACAATAGCGTGGCACAAAGTCATCGTCTTGCCAGTTTGCAGCCAGGAACTTGTTCACCTGAAGGGCAGGGGCAGGAGTGTAACAAGGCGTGCCATCCTTGGTACCCACCTGTCTGCCTCCACACCTCTCCCTGCCCACCTGCTGCTCCACCACCGCCCGCCAACAGCGTGTCAGGTTCCTCATGATGCTGCTTGGAAGCCCCCGGGTTGTCAGGGAGCTCCAGTCGTGGCTTCTGTTCCTGCCTTCTGTAGAGACAAAGGGGCAGAGGCAAAGTGAGCATGGTCCCTCCGCTTCCAGGTCCAAAGGTGAGACCTGTGGCCCTTCCTGACATACTGCCACTTGAGAATGTCCTTACAAGGGGATGTGCCACAGACCTGGAAGATAACAGGCCCCCAGTCTAGGACGGGAAGAGTGAGACAGTCTGCTGTGTACAATCTAAGCCTTTATACTGGCAAAAGCTCCCATCAGCAGCTCCCTGCCTGAATTCCTAGGACTCACTGGGCCGAGGACTGGCCACCACTGGAGTGGGCACCTCGCAGGACTCAACGTGCACCAGCAGGTGGGTGAGGCGGCGCACACGCGAGGAGAAGGCTGCCGCTCGGCTCTGGGGGTTGTGCGAAGCCTCCCGACACTCCAGGTACTGGTCCAGCAGCCAGCCCAGGGGGCTAACTCCATCCTCATCTGCAGGGCGAGGAAAGCGAGTCAGGGTATGCCTGCAAGGTGTGAGGAGAGGCTGCGTCACAAGGGAGGGTAGAGGAAGAGATACTGAATGAAACAGCACAGGAGTCAGGGCAGGAGAGAACCAGTGGGGACAGCAGGGCCCCTCCTTACCTTCTGGTGTCAAATGAGAGACATGGGAACTGAGGCTGTGAGGAGGGACATTGGTGCTGTGAGGGAAACTGAGGCAGTGAGGAGGGGCACAGGAACTATGAGGGAAACGGACTGTGAGGAAGGGCGCTAGGGCTGTGAGGTACTGTGAGATGCTATCAGGAAAACAGACTGTGAGGAGGAACTGGGGCTATGAGGGAAACTGGCGCTGTGAGGAGGGGCATTAGGGTTGTAAGGAGCTGTGAGGAGAGGTACTGGGGCTGTGAGGGAAACGGGCTGTAGGTAGGGGCACTGAAGGGACACAAATGGTTGTACCAAACAGGCTAAGAACATAGCTTGTGTGGCTCTGGGGTTCGGGGGAGGGGGAAAAAGCTAGCTAGCAGGGCCACACAGTGGAATGGTAAAAGGGGTTAGGCATCACTGAGCTGCTTACCTGAGGAGGTGATGCTCTGCACCAGGGGGCTGACCAGGGCCTCCCAGCAGGTCTTGCCCAGGGCTTGGGCGGCCTCCTCATCAGGGAGGAAATTGTCAGCAAAATTCTGCTCCTGGCGCAGAGCCCCATTGAGTCTGGTGATGGGAGATGAGGTGGGATGTCAGGGGACTGAAGTGTAAATGACCTCAGTGTTCATTCAGCAAACAGATCAAAACCTTACTCAATATTTAAGACCACCCTTTGTTAGCTAGTGGGTCCCATCACTGCCCCTCCACTTCTGAAACCTGAGAATGATCCAGCCCCAGCCCATGAATCTTCCATCTCACTCCTCCACAGAACACTACCCCTCAGCCACGTGCAATCATCTACTCTTGGTGCAGACACAGGGGCACACATACAAACATACACACACCTAGAGCTGAGGTGGAGCAGGCTCCTTCGGTCCTCAGCTATATCCTGGCTCCAGGCCTGTGCCCGAACCATGTAGAAGAGGCGTGTGTGTCGACACAGCTGCTCCCGGAAAACTGGCCAGAAGTTGGGCTTAGGGCCCAGGACCTCTACCCCTCGAATTCGTGTGTCGATGCCACCCTGCAGCGAGCACAGCCTGTTCTCAGCTGTCCCACACTCTCCTCAGGACAGCTGGGGCTGGCCACCCCCTCCGGCCTCATCCCTGCAGCCACCTGTGGCCCAACCTGGAGCTCTGGCCCCAGACATGCAACATTCCTGCATGCAGAGCCCCTCACCAGGGTTGTCTCCACACCCCCTGCCCCACCTGCTGGCAGCGCTTTATGCGGATTTGGATGATGGGCCAGAAGTGGTTCAGGTTCTCCAGGAGGATCACCCGGCTGGCGGTGGGCATCACGTTGACCTGGAAGGTGGGTGTCACTCCAGGTTAAGAGTGAGTGCTGACAGCCCCCTTCTGCACTGTGCTTCCTCCTTCCTCTAGCTCTCGGATGAGTGAGGCCCGAATGCTACCTCCTTAATCAGAGTCTAATGCAGCACACAATGACCCGGGATGCCACCTTCTGAGGGTTCCCGATGAATACACATTTAAGAGGTTAATGGTCTGAACAGGAGTGGGAGCCCATGAGGGTGGTCAAGAAACCCTTGTGTCCCTACCGAGGTGAGTTCCGTGTTAAGAGAGTTGGTGCTGTCGCCCCCAACTACCACCACCCTGGCCGGCATGTAGCTTGAGTCCTCGCTGGCCACCAGCAGAGTCAGCTGCCTAAGAGCGCAAAGAAAGGACCAGTCAAAAGAGCACCCTGTCAGCCCAAGAGACTCTTGATCATACCCCGAATATGATGCCATCCCCAAGACAAACACAGACAAGTCACAAGAAAGTGTCAACAGAGGCTGAGCTTAGGAGTGGAATGTGTTACCTCACGAGGATGCCCTGGTGCATGTGCAAGGTGATGGCGTGGGACCCGGCGCTGCCGCTGGACTCCCAGTAGGTCTTGGGATTGCGATCTGTCAGCCGGCTGGCCTGCTGCTGATTGGAAGACACCTCAATCTTCTCCCAGCACTTGTCCTCCTTCATTTCCACACTGGAGCCTGGGGCCAAGTGGAAAGGGGGAGGTCACAGTCTAGTGGGAAGTGGAGAGGAAGGGAAAGCATGCTGGTGTGGGACATGGACGGACAGGCACAGACCCTGGCATAGATATCTGAGGAACACATCAAAGAAGGGGATGTTGATGGCCCGGTGGGTTCGTCTGTGGTCTTCAATCTGGCCCAGCACCATCTGTGCCAAGAAGGTTAAGAGAGAATAACAAGTGGCAGCTCCTGTGATGCTCAATCACCTGCTCTTCCTGATCTTCTGGAACAGTCTCTTGTAACACCTTTGTTATGGTTCTGTATTCTCACTCAGTTGAACCCATTGTCTCCCCTTCCAGTGCCCCTTCTCCTGACCTGGATGCAGCCTCCCAGGACGTTGGTGAGGAGTCTCCGGTAGAGGTGGGCGTGCTTCTCACACTTGAACACCATGTCCCGCAGCTCCTGGGCCAGCTCCAGCTTCCCCTGGTGCTTCTCCAGGGCCTTAGAGATTGCGTCTCGGGCACCCAGCTGGTTCAGCACCACAGCATAGTCCCTGCTTGCTGAGGTCAGGCGGTGCAGGAAGGAGATGAGCTCCTGAAGGACCTGGCAGAGGGACAGGAGATGGGGCGTAAAGGGGACAGGCAGGGACCATGAGGGCTCTTCACCCCTATCTACTTTACACCCACTGTGTGCCAAGTGCTGGGGAGACTACAGTGAACAAGACAGAGTGAGGGGGTAATAAGGCATGGACAGAGGGTAGTCGGGAGACAGGAGAGGCAGGTGGAGTTAAAGAACCAAAGACAAGCTGAAAGGATTTAAAGCCAAGAGGTGCCCTGGGTTTTAGGACCACTCATTATGTTGACAGCAGGGGCTCAGAGCATCCCTGGGTTTGTTCTTTTCAGGGCCAGCTGTCCCAAGAGTCAAACTCGGAGTCTGTGTGATGAGAACTCTGTTCTCTAAGACCAGACACCCTGAAGGTAGGAGGGGGCTAATAGGGACTGGATTTTTGTGTGTGGAAATTCAGGAAATCCTCCACTCAGAAAAGAAAGTTCTGGGAAATTACCAAAGGTGTGTACTGTAGACACCCACCCCCACCGTCAGCACCATCGTTGTTCTCTGGTCCCTCCTCAAGCCTTCTGTGTCTAAGACTATTCTGTCGCTACTGCAGGGGACTCTGCTAACCAATGGGCCCCTCTTGCTACCTTCATTCCCCTTTCTTCCACCGACCCAGGCAATTCTAAAAATGCACTTTTGACACTTTCAGTGTACTTTTTCTCTGTATCAACACACAGTAGAAATATTATTATGTACTGGGCCCCTGGGTCATCTAAATGTGGTGAGCTGCTAAATGAATAATTGGAGGTTGTGTCTACCCCAAGGTGCCTCAGAAGAAAGGCCTGGTGATCGACTTCGGAAAAATCAGCTCTGAGAAACCCTGTGGAGCACACAACTTGACTCTGGCACATACAGGGTCAATCAGGAGTCAGAACTGAGTCATTGGCAACTGGTTTTAAAATACACACATAAAACCCAGCCCAACTGTTTGCCACTGAGTCAGTTCCAACTCATAGGAATCTTGTAAGACAGAGCAGACCTTCCCCATAGGGGTTCTGAAGCTGTCAATCTTTGTGGGAGCTGATGGCCTCATCTCCTACAAAGTGGCTGGTGGGTTCAAAATCTGACTTCAGGGTTAGCAGCCCAATGCTTAGATAAGGGCTCCTTATACATACATAAGTACAGAGACAGATAGATAGATAGATAGATAGATAGATAGATAGATAGATAGATAGATAGATAGATGATAGATAGATTAGATTTTGTGTTTGTTTATATTTTCATAAAAAACATAGAAAGGGTACATAAATTAATCCACGTGGTTAACAATTAGGGATGTGTAGGGGGCATCGGGAGAACAGGGATTCAAGTGGGAACAAGACTTCTCACTCTAACTACCTTGTTACATCGTTTTGATTTGTGAACCGTATGAATGTATTACCTATTTAAAAAAAATAAAATTCCGTTTTAAAACCAGAACCCCAACCAGAGGATCAAGACCCCCAAGGACTCCATCATGCCCTCCAGAACTTGCTTGGGGTGGCAGCCTCACCAGGAGCTGCCATGCGTCCTCTCCCTCCCAGCCTTGTCCTGACCAGGCAGAGGTACCTCTTGGTCAGTGCTTGGGGACCGCAGGCAGGCCACACAGGCATCCATGGCCTCATGCCAGGGCAGCAGCAGCGCCTCAGGAAAGTCCACCAACTGTGTCAGGATTCTGGGGAGCAGGGGGCAAGACACCAGAGGAATGTCCAGCCAACCTCAGAGACGCCTTCCTTGACACGACCCCACCTCTCAACACCCTCTCACCTCAAAGCAGTCAGGTGCAGAGCCCTGTTGGAGGCTGGTGTGCTGAGGCTCTGCATGAGTGTGAGGAAAGGCCATGGCTGCCGCTGGAGCTGTAGCACGAGTGGCCTGGCCTCGCCTTCCAGGGAGCCCTCTGTGCCCAGAGCTCGCTCCAGATCCAGGAGGACTTTCCCTGCTGGACCACAGCCCTCTACCAGGTGCTGCAGGGGAGTGTCAGAACACTGAGACTCGGGTTCTTTGGCTACAAGAAGAGGGAATTGGCCATTGTTTGTGACAATCTTTTTTCTGAATTTCTTCTGAAAATTTTTTTTTTTTATTTTTTGGGGCTTTCAGTCCTTGGAGGAGCAAAGTATTAATGTGCTCAGCTGCCAACCAAGATATTAGAGGTCTGAGTTTCCTAGAGGTGCCTGAGGAGAAAGGCGTGGGGATCCACTACCAAAGTATGAGCTGTTGAAAACCCCCTGGAGCTCAGCTCTACACTGCCACATGTGGTGCTGTCACGGGTGGGAGTAGACGCTGACTCACTGGCAACTGGTAACCACGCAAAGTGAGGTTTTAAGACATTACAATATATTCCATTGGGTTTATGCAACCAACTGCTTCATAACAAATTTTATAGTTTATGTTCTTAGTGGCTTCCCATATGAAAATAGAACATATCCTTCCATTTAAAATGGTGCACTACTCTATATCTCCCTTTAACAGAAAAGGTTAAATATGGGCGAGGGCTTTTCAACTCTTTAAAACCTCTTGCAATTTGACATCCTAACTTTACATCCTCCATTCCTTGAAGGAAGCCAAATGCACTCTTCTCCACTTGCCATTTGCCTCATAGTCTGAAATTTTCCTAAGGTGTCCTCTCTTCCAGGTGGGATTGCCAAGAAATTAGCTCAGACCTCTCTCTTATGCTTAAGCTTCCCCAAAGACAGGTCTGCTTAGCTGCTCGGTCTGTCCGGATGTCCTACCTTCAGCGCTGGCTACATCATTTGATTTCTGAGGCTGGGCCTGGGCTCCCAGCAGGAAGGCATCTTGTGGAACTTCTAGAAGGAGTGGGTAGGCTGGCTGCCCAGCCAGGGCCTCAGTCCCATACTTCTTGTAGACACGGCTATTGAGTAGGTCCCGGAGGTCACTGTCATCAAGTCGCTGAGGCAAAGCCAGTAGCAGATCCTGGGCCAGCTCTATGGGCACGCCCAGCTCAGCCAAGAGCTCATCATCCAAAATCTGTGGGCAGAAGTTCTCACTGCAGGGAGCGCTCAGGAGGGTTTTAATTTAGACCATTCAAGGCAGGCAGCTTGCTCCTCTCAACAGCCTTCCGATATGTTGGGACATTCTAGATTGTTCTTCTGGGGTCTCTTGCACTCTCTGACCTTCACTGCGCAATTTAAGCCTCCCCCAAGCTCTATCACAAAGGAGCCCTCCAACCTCCCTGTATCTCCAGGTCAGCTCTACCTGCCCATCCAGATTCTCCTGGAGGATCTGCAGAACCTCTTGATGGTCAGAGACATCCAGCTTCTTAATGAAGAACAGCAGCTCCCACCATTCAGCCTGGGTTAGGTGCTCGCTCTCCTCAGCATCCTCATCCTCTGGCTGAGCATAAGGCACAGCATAGAGCTCTGCCATGGGCTTCCACCTCCATGAGGGCAAGGCTGGAGAAGTGGGTCAGGGGGTACAGGCATGTCACAGTCTACCCAGCCGGACCATGGCTCCCCTGTGCACAGCTGACCCCTGCTTTTCCCTTGGGCTCACCTACACCCAGGGCTCCACTGCCTACTGCCCCTTGGTTTTCCTCAGCATCCGCCATCTCTTCAATGTCTTCCTCAAAGCCCAGGATCTCCAACATGTGCCAGTGTACCCAGTAGGTGCGGCCTGTTGATTCCCATAGCACCTGGAGAAGAGAGGGAAGGAGGGAGCTCACCTAACGGGGCCTGAGACTCAGTGATGAAGACATAGAGTCTGTAGAGTGCCCACCTCAGGCCAAGTTGGGGGGGGGGGGGAATCCCAGATAATAAGACAGCAGCATAGCGGGGGGGAAAAGCGAGTGTGAATACACACATACACACCCCCTTTCCCTACTGGGGAAATATTTTCTATATTTTTTAAAATTTGTTTTTAAATTTTACATTGGTTTGCATACAAAATTTGTATATATTTGTATACATCATTGTATACATTTGTATCTTTAATTCATTGTGGTTCATACAATCATTCTTATTATGTTTTAGAAAATCAATCACCATTAAACCATGCCCATCATCACCCTGTCTTTCTAGATCCCCACTGGATCGTTCCCATTTCCTTTATCCTACCTCCCTTTACCCACCAAATGATGCAATCTTATGACCTCCCCTTTGCTCTTAACCTTTTTTGTTTTAAAAAATTATGATTTAAGTGAATTTTACAAATCAAATTGGTTTTGTACTAAGCCATTCATGCACATTTTGGTTTATAACATTAATTGGGACACCCAGAATGGAATAAACACGTTCCTACTTCCTCCGGATAATTCTCATTTCCATTATTCCTTCTACCCTTCCTCTTTCTGCTTTCTGGGATTTCTACATGGAAAAATGCTGCTCCTTGGGCCTTACTTATTTGGCTAAGGAGTGAGTGCCCCCCTGTGTAACTGGCCATTTTATAGGCATGTCTGTTATTTGGTACAAAGTTAATGCACAGAGGTGTTTTGTTCCAGGTTTGAGGGTAACTAAAAGCCATCTTGGGGGTTCTACTAGTCTCTACCAGATAGTCCAAGCTTTTTATGTTTGTGAGGTTTGTTCCACTTTCCCCCACTCTATCCAGGGCCTTCTACTGTAACCTCTTTTTAGAGTGTTTTGCGTTGGTGGGTGGGCACCATCTAGTTCTTCTGGCCTAGGGATCATGGAAGTTAAGGTCCTTTGCACTAACTGTATTTATGTGCCTCTGCTTTTCTTTTCCCTTTGTTCCAGCCAGAAATCTCCTCACATTCATCCTTGACAACCAGCTCATGCCCTTGTCTCCCTAACCTCTGCCATCTCAGTTTCTGCTCCCTGGGTTGAGTCTCTCCTTGACTTGACATTCTTTCCCAGATTTTTCTCAGCCCTCCAAATGAGCTCTCTCCTGAGGAGTCAATTGCTCATCTTTTTTTACCATTCCAGTTCCCCCTAGTTTTCTCCTCAGGAGTGGCTGGCAGAGCCTTCTGCACGACAGCCCAGCCACGTCCTCAGTGTCCCACTGCCACTCCCACTCACCTGCACAGGGGGCACACCATTGTTGCTCTGCTGGAACTCGCCCTCGTCCCCAGCTCTGATCTCTTCATAATCATCCAGCATGCGCACTCGCATCCCTGGCTGGAGGGTATCCCGCACATACAAGGCATAGGTATTGCCACTTGCAAACTCAGTGCGAGGGCGAAACCGCCGTGACCGCCTGGGGGCAGGCTGGGCTTGGGCAGCTGGGAGCCCAGGGTCTGCATCTTCAGGGTGGCGTTGGAAAATGGACGAGGTAGGCCTTATCCATCTCCCCTGTCTGCTGGAGGAGGCCCGGTCCCAGCGCATGACCTGCACCAACTCTGTGATCAAGCTGCCCATGGCCATACTGAATTCCAGTTCTAGCCGGCTCCTCTCCCCATTGAACTCCTCAGGAACTGAGTTGTTCTGGAGCCCTCGTTCTGCAGCACTGTCGTTCAGTTGATCCAGGAGTGAGGTAACATGCAAATAGCCCTTCACCAGGGAGAAGAGGAGCCTTCCTGGGACCTGTAGGATACAACCTTTGGCCTGTGCCCATCTGGGCCAAGCTTTAGTTCTCCTTCCTACATTATTATCTATAAATAGGTACCAAAGTTTGGTCCCAAGATCTTGTTCATGGCTTTTCCCACCCTCTGATTCCCACAGAATACCTGTGGCAGCTGAACACCTTCGAAAGAAATAGGATGTTCAGAGAGTGTGGCCTGTGCAAATAGTGCCAACAGAGCGCAGCGGCTGTCGAAATCCAAGTGCTTCTCAATGGCCTCTTGCTGGCTCAGTGACAGGAGGATCTGGGTCCGAGTCCCTGTAACCCACACCCCAATCAGTAACTGCTCCCTAATCTCAATCTTGCCATGAATATCTCCTAGACAATCTACTCTCTGTCTAGTTATTTTACCACTACACACTAGGAAAACTTGGTTGTTTAAAAAACCAGAATGTACTTTCTTATTTACATCCCAAGACTCACTTTCACCGCTGTCAAAGGAGACTCTGAGTCATAGTAACCCTACAGGACAGAGTAAAACTGCCTCACAGTTCCAAGGCTGTAAATCTTTATGGAAGCCAACTGCCACATCTATCTCTCAAGGGAGCAGGTGGTTGGTTCAAATTACTGACCTTTCAGTCAGGAGAACTTAACCACTACAATAATAAAGGGCATGGACGGACACACAAACACACATACACTGCCAATGACATGGATTTCAACTCACAGCCACCTTCTGTCAGGTTTCTGAGGCTATAAATCTTTACAGGAGAAGACTGTTCATCTTTCTCCTGCAGAAAGGGTGGTGGATTCAAAGCCCTGACTTTCTGGCTAGCACAACACACTATTCCAACACACACACACACTCTCTCTCTCTCTCTTTCTGCAAGAGCCCTAGAAGCACAATGTTTAAATGCTTGGCTGCTAAGCAAAAAGGCTGCCAGATCAAACCCACCCAGTGGCTTCAGGGGAGAATGATGTGGCAAACTGCTTCCTTAAATATCCTGTAAAGATTTAATTCAATGCCATCAAGTTGGAACCAACTCACAGCTGAGCCTCCAACAGATTTTCTGAATCTGTAAATTACATGGACAAAGACTGTCCATCTTCCTCACCACCTGCTCCCTGTGGAGTCACTGGTGGATTCCAACCACCAGAGGCGCCACCTTTGGGTTAGCTGTGCAACTCCCCAGGGACAAAACTACCAGAGCTCTAAAGAGTACAACTAAGAAAACTCTGTTGTTGTGTGCCATCAAGTCAGAACTGACCCACAGCTGACCCTACAGTGGGTTTTCAGAGGCAGTAAATCATACAGGAGGCTACCCCATCTTTCTCTTGCAGAGCAGCTAGTAGGTTCAAACTGTGTTCCTTTGGGATTACAGTGCAGCTTCTTACCCCCAGGCTACCAGAGGGATCAATGTGTGTTGAAATTGACATAGTTAATAACAACATATGTGAAACCTGCAGCAGTTTCAATTCTTACTTTGTATAGAAAGCTCATTTGCAGTTCCTGAGGATTTAGAGCCTTTCTTCTACCTGCATAAACACTCCCCCTTTTCCCACTTCTTCTTCCACTTTAAGATTACAGCAGCACTCATTTACCTACTGATGAGGTCAGAAGCTGCTGTCACAGTGTCTTGAAAGTCCCTGAGCTGACCCAGCCCCACTTCCTGCTTCCCATCCTCCCCTCACTGGTTCTCACCAGCATCATGCGAAGACAGGGCTTGGATCATCCGGCCCGCGCTCCAGCGCATCTGATAATCAGGACTACTCAACATCTGCATGAGCAAGTCCAGGACCGTTGGGTCTTTGAAGATCCCTGTGAGGGGTTCAATGCTGGCATAGGCACTGAGCACATGGACAGTATGAAGCAGAGGGGCAGGCGGGATGGTGCCCACATATTCCTGCAGCTGTCGAAGGGCCCTCTGAATCAAGGTTTTCACATCAGTCTCCATCTCCCCTAGGACCGACTTGTCCAGGGCTCCAGTCTCCCCCGAAGACTCCTGGGAGGAAGGCCCGATGACCTGGCCATCCTCGCCCAGCATCTTGTGGCAGTTGGCATAGATCTCATCATTGGACATCCACAAGAGGATGTGCTCGGCCTTGCAGTCCACTTGGCTAGAGCCCCCATCCCCATCATCTCCACGCCTGAGGATAAGCCAGCGGATCTGGTACTCGGGATGCCCATCAGGGCCCATCCGCTGTCGGATCAGCTCATCAGGGTAGGCATGCAGGCCGGGTCCCAGTGGCACCCTGAATTCTCTGTAGCGGAGTTCCCCCACCATCGTGGCACCTGTGACACACAAGGAAAAGAGGACAGGCAAGCTGGAGAGGAGGTTAGGAAATCGAGGACATGCAGGAATGAAGAAGCAAATGTGGACACAGCTGTCCAGCAAAGGAGGGGAAAAGGAGCCAGAAGTTGGCTTATGCAGATTGGGTGGGACTAGGCCTGAACAGGGGAACACTGCAGCATTTGTTCTAAGAAAATAGACAATTAGGGGCTGAAAGGAGGGTCTCTGAGATCCTTTGGCCCAGAATAGGTTGGTTTGAAGCAGTGGGAGGGTTTAAGGTTGCTGGCCAGTCTTCCAATTAAAAGGAAATCTCAGGGTCTTGAGACACAGGCCACAGGAGTCTGTGTGCAAAATACAGTCATTTAGGGAGATAATGAAGGAGGTGCTGACGCAATGTGTGGGAAAGGGCTATCTCTCAGAGCTGATGCATCGGGTACGTTGCAGAGACAAGCGGCTCAGAGAAATGGGGGGAATGGGTGCATGCTAGGCCCAACAGAGCGAGGCTGGGATGGCTGGTGAGCTAGAGGCACCTAAGACTTTATAAGCGGGAGCAGCAAGGGCAGTGGAGGAAGCCACTCGGCCCGGGAGAGGATGTACAGGAGATCTGGGGGAGAAGGATGCAAGGCTGGGTGGCTGAGGGTCCAAAACCCAATAAGGGGATGCTCGCGGTAAGAGAGAGGAGGGTGCCAGGCCCAATACATTTGGGAAGCCCAAGGCATCGCGGGATGCAGGGACGCGAAACGGATCTAGTGGGCTAGAGAAATAAGTGATCTAGTAGATGGACAACCCAGGTAGGGGCAAGGGGCCGCGGCGGGGCTCTGGACACCTCAGAAGTCGGTGGGGTCCTGGTGCGAGGCCTGTCCTTCACAGAGCTAGGGACGCAGCGCAGGCGATGGCGGCGATGCTGGCAGAGATTTGGGCCCAGCTTGGGCCCCCTGAAGGGGGTCGATGCAGAAGGGGGCGTGTCCCTCGGTGCAGGCAAGGGGACAGGGGGGTGTGGCGCACGGGGACGGGCGCGCTGGGGCTGAGCCACAGCCTCTGTGGGTGCAGCGGCGCTGCAGGGATGCGGCCTGGCTGTGGTCAGCGGCGCCGCCTGCCCAGCTCGGGGGCTCCGCGGCTCATTTCCGCTGGACCTAGCGGAAAGCGAGGGGCCCTGGGAGAACTCGGGGCGGAGCCGCTAGTGCCACATTGTCGACTTGCAGCTCCTCCCCCGTACCGCCCTTTCCTCTTCCTTTTTGTCCTTGTGCCTGTCTCCGGAAGTTCTTTCTTCAACTCCCAAAACCAGAATGAAAAAGACTTTGGAGGTCATTTCTTCTCCATCCTCCTTTACAAAGGTGCAGAGGTGGGCGTACGAATTTGAAATAACAGGGGATGTGCCGTATGAAGCCCTAGTTTACCTCGTCCCGTCCTATTCCTTTCACCGTCCCCTACGCGTTTGCTCCTCTCCCCCTCCTGGTCCAATCTGTATCGTCCTCCTTCCCTTTCCACACCCACACCCATTCCCCCCCCCCAATCCAGTAACAGTTTAAAATAAAAGGTGTTATTTTATTAGAGTCCCAAGATAAATCAGCTTTGTGCAGCAACTGAGGGCAGGTTCACATAGCTCTTCATGGGGGGCAGGGGCCGAATCTTTCGGCCGGCCGTCCCCCCCTTGCGGTGCCACAGCCCACTGGAAGGCCTCTTGCCCAGCCAGCGGTTCCGCCCAGCCTTGCCAATGACTCGCTTGTTATGGTCAATGTTGGATACTCGGCCCACTGTTGCTGTGCATGTTTCCAGCACCTGATAGCAAATGAAGAATGTGTGGTTAGGGGAAGACAATCTGACAGTTAAAACACGGACTCTTATGTGACTTCTCAGATGCAATGAGCGAAGAGATGGGTGTGGGGCAAGCACACTTTAGTTGAACCCCAGGTGTTTGTGTCCTATACTTAGAAATGGACAGCTCAAAATCAAAAGACACTATCCTCTATTTCAGTGTGGTGATGGCCTGACAAGGAATATTCTTCACAACTCACTGAAGACAAATCGGAACTCAGCTGTTTTCAGAAGTATAAACTGCATGGGAGAAGAATGCCCCTCTTTCTCCCATAGAGCAGCTAGTGGATTCAAATCGCCTGCCTTTGGGTTGGCAGCACAACTGCTTAATCACTAGGCTGTCATTGCACATAAGGAATGCTAGGGGCAGTAAAGCACAGAACTGCCTGAGGCAGATCGTGGTGGCATACAACACCTGAAAACTATTCCCAACCAGGAAAAAAAAATCCTCAAAATTCTTCCATTGTTGAGTCCTCCCAACAGTGCCCACACACACCTGCATCTGCCTCTTAGAAGGCAGCTGGATGATGGCTGTCCCATTTACTTTCCGAAGCAGCACACCACACGTCCCTGGAGAAGGGAGAAACAGCTCTGGTATTCTCCACAGGGGAAAGGGTGGGAGATTTAAATGGGGGCCCTGCCCCAAGCACTGCTCTTGCCATGTCCTTTAGATGCAGATACATTGAAGCTGGATGTATGCAATGACTCGGATCAAAACAAGCATACTGTCATCCTCATTTTCCTTCTTTGCAGGGGACTGCAGATAAGCTATTGGTTTAGAGAATTATGACCACAGGTACCCTCTGACCTTCCAAATTGTTGAGCCCCAAGCAGTGCCATTCCCCATACCTGCAGCTCTGATATACTGGGCCCCACGGCCTGGCTCACTCTCCACATTGTTGATGAGGGTACCCACTGGCAGGGCTCCAAGAGGATGTGCATCTCCTTCCCGCGCAGCAACTAACAGACAGGATTTCATAAGTACAAGAGTGCTTACAGCTTCCTGGCCCACATCTGACAACCACCCCTCACCTGCTATCCGGCCTATGTGGTCAGAGTTGAGGATGACATCTCCAGCTTTCATGTTTTCTGTGGCAATGATCCAGCGTTTCCGGCTGCCTCCAGCAACCAAAGCTATGTCTGCTGACCTGTTCAGGATTGAGGACAATTAAGCAGGCCATCAAGGCAGTCCCGTATCTTCTGAGAGGCCATCAAGCAATCATCTACATACATCATCATTGTGTCATATCGCAAACTTGCCTACAGGGATCATAGCGGACAACAATGACCTTCTCCTCAAAAGGTCCTGGCTTGGTTTCCTGCTCGGGCCGGAATCGCAGAAAGTCAATCATTCGGTAACACTGCTTATGGCCCCCGCCAATGCCATGCACTTGGATGCGGCCTGTGGTCAGGACAGTGTGAGACTGCAATAAAAGTCAAACAGATTCCACTCCCCCACAGAGAACAGGCAGCAACTGCCAACATTGTTGTTATGTACCATCGAGTCAGCTGTGACTCATAGCGACCCTATGTACAAGAGCTCTGAACCCGGTTCTATCCTGAGCCAACCTTATTGTCTATGACACACCTTCCCCCATTAGAGCACAAGCAAAATATGAGAAAAACCTGCACATGTTCGTTTAAGGCAAGGTGGCAGGGCATCTATATGAACACTGGTAACACATGTTATTAAAATGAAAGAAGTAAGAAAAGTGAGGATATAAAGTGGTAGGGAAGGTAGTAAATACTGAAATTTTATATAACTTCCCAAAATGTCTCTTTAAATGACTGACTCCAGTTAGTTTACTGAGAAAGCTGTGTAAGTGGTGCTCAGTTTCAATTTTAAGTTTTCAAATGGTGAGAACAGTGTCATGGCCAGTTTCTGTCCATTACCTAAACTGTTCTTAGAAGCACAAACCTCATTGTCTACTGCTTTGTACCCCCACAGTCTGGCTTTTATACACATATTACATACAGGAGCAAATAGTGCTTCTTGAGAGCTTGTTTGGAGGTTCTAGCAGGGGAGCGCAGCTACTCGTATACCCTTGACCGAAGGACGGTCTTCCTTCTATCGGGGATGGTTGTCCTCTTCGACCGAGCGCGCAGCTTCGGGAGGGACGCACATGGATCGGTGAGGGAGGAAGGGGACACCCGCCTAGCCAGCTAGATCAGCCGAATCAACCCTGGCGATCAATGGGGTGACAGATGTCGCAGCCAGATCGCCCTCACATCCCAAATAGTGCTTCTTAATGACATTCTTTTGTCCCACAAAATATTAGTATCTACAGTCCAACTTTGTTTTTCCCTTTCCTGATTGAGTTCATTCCCACCTGTGTGGTTTCGGCCCCCAGATTTCCTCATTTTCACTGGTTTAACGGTGTACTTGGTACGACTCTTCCAGGATACAAATTTGGCATTAAGGGTCGTGAAGGTGAGGAATGGGCGGAAAGGGAGCAATGTTGAAGCAGTAGGTGTCTGGAGGAGGGCATTGGCATTGCTTATCACCTAGAGATAAACAGAAATCTCTTGTCACGTGGAAAGCTAAATGAACACCAGAAATCAAAAGAGAAAAAACAGATTAAATTTAGTTTGTAGTTCAATTCCTTCTGGAAGTACCTCAGACTAGCTGTCAAAAACTCTTATTCTTCAGTTTGCACAGTATCAGTGAAAAATGTTTATCCAAATGTATATGTGTTTATGACTTCTCCTTATTTAATCTTCTTTCACCTCTGAATTTTTTGTTCAATGGAATGTTATCCTCTTAATGCATTATAAATTCTTCCAAATTTGGCTTAAAACTTTCATCTAGAACTTTCTTTCCTAACGATCCATTCTCCAGAATTGCCAACTTCCATACATTCATGTACTACTGACACCAGCAGTGTCCTTTGTCCATTAGCATGGTTTCTGGGAATTATCACAAGTGAATTTGTCTTGCTCCCTGCTGTATTCTCAGCATTTCAGAACACAGTGCTTTGGTTTTGAATTCCACTTATGCATTGCCAAACATTTCTATCAATCCAAGAACTCTAGAGGAAAAAGACTCCTTTCTGTTGCTTACCAAGGCCTTGTACATATTCACTCAAATCCTTCCCTTTAGCCAATCTAGAGCTCATGATACCTTGGAGGTCCCTAATTCTTGCTATCTGGCCCTTGTTGTTAGGTGCCTTGTTAGGCGTGGGCTCTACATTCCCTAATCTCGGCAATAACTCATCCCTGGAGGTGGTACCCAGACATCTCTACTACCCAAGGTGTGTGACCTTGGGTTGCCTATTTGTAAAGTGGAAAAAGAGAACTTATTCATAGTTAAGCAGGAGTGCCATCCATTTCCTAAACAACATGCCTCTGGAAACTCTATGAACTTTTATAAATGACGATAGTTCTAGAAAGGCTTCAGGCCTTTTGTGCAAAGGGTGGTTATGAGTCGTGCTCGACTCCTACGGCAATCAAAAACAACACAGTTAAGAGGAGAGTTCATCTATTTAAAACCCAAATTCTTTATACCTGGCTTACAGCAGACAGTAAATGTTATTGCTGAAATCTGGACAATTAGCTATTCGGAAGACCCTTTCGTCTGAGGAATCTACAAGAGATCACCATCTTACAGAGGCGAAAGCCGAGGCTAAGAATGACTTATCCGGTGTCATAAACCGCTGTGACTCCTTCAGTCCTCGCAGCCTCTGATCTAAAGCTTTTTTTCTCCTTCCCGGCGGCCTGAACAAGAACTAATTCCCACGAAACGGATTACCTGGACTGCGGGGAGAAGGCTCGAGGCGGAGGTGGCGGGGACCGGGGGTGCTAGGCTGAGGGAGCCCAAAGAGCGTGTAAGTGCCCTTAAGGCCATGAGGAAGGGCAGGAGAGCAAGGTCTCGAGAGTCGACATATACGCTTAGCACGGGGGCCTGGCGCTCTCTGATGATGCATCGCAAGCGCCGTCACTCTTTAATGACGTACAGCGATGGGCAGGGAGGAGGACACCCACCGAGCCCGAGGCACACTTTCTTTCCTTGCTGTGCGTTGTCAGAGCCAATCCCTGGACCGCTCTTAGGTAGCGTGACTGAGGAAGGGGCCCCCACCCCTGGGAGCCGTCAAAACAATTGCCTCGAGCGGCAGCCATGATGGATTTAAAGGGGCAGTACCAGCAAAGGCTGCAGCCAGAAAGAGAGACTGCTGGTGAGTTTTTGAAGGTACTTCTGTGGTTGAGGGTAGAAAGTCCCCACCATCTTTTATTTGCGCACTCCCGGACAGATGAACAAACTCTCTCTAATCCATCTTTGTAAGATTCTAGACAGACCTAAAAACTCCGCCCTCCGCGGTGCTTCCCCGCCCCTTGGCACCCAGAAAGACAGACGGCCTGCCCCGCCCCCTCGCGACCGACTGACTTACTGACCTCAGGCTTGCCGGTTGCGGGGTCCCCACCTGCGATCTAGATCTCGTAGTCAATTAACATCTCCTCCTTCTTAGTCCCCTGCACACTTCATTCTCCTCCCACTTTGGGCCCTGGACGCTCCTCAAATACCAATCTCAGTCCCGGAAGACCAGTTCTCAGCTACAAGTTTCCTTGTGACCCTGCAGCGGCTCAGCAGACTTGCCATTCTCCCCCACATCATCTGGGGCTTAGGAGGCACCCTAAGGTGACTCTTCTCAGAGTCTGTTAGGAGATGACAGAGGGCAAGGAGTTAACTCAGCTTGGCCTTTGAGGAACAAAGCCATGGATGTGACTACGGTTGAGCATAACCAAGTCTTTCCTCCTGATTCTTTCCCAGATATGCTTCTCCGTCTTGGGAGAAATTAGTCTTCTGGACTCGGGTGGAAGGTTGACTTGGTGAAAGCATAGAGTCACTGGTTGTGTTTGAAACCCTGTAGGTAAAGGAAGGGGGGTGTGTGCTTGGTCACCGGTGGCTGTGAGAGGGGGTGGAAATGTTGGACTCCTGAACTTTGGGCAGGGCAAATCCTTGACTACTGAACAGAGTTTCTTCCGGGCTTTGGCTTGAGCTCCACCTCCACAGCCAAGGAAGAACTCTGCTGTGTACAGGTAAGAGGATTTCAGAAGCAAACTAAGACCTTTTGGAAGTAGGAAGCCAGCTTGAAACCCTGAGGATGGTAAAAATGGACTGAAGGCTATTTGCAGTATGAGGCAGGACTGACATGCTTGAGAGATGCTGCACTTAGGTCTGTGAGCCAAAGTCGAAGACCTTGACCCTTGTGGGTCTTTCTCACATGGGTCCTGTGGTGAAGACTCTTGCTTTCCTTCCCCACTGACCTGATTTAATTTTGAAGTCTATCCTTTTCCTTATTTTTGAAAGCTCTCCATTATCTTCTGCATATCTCCTCCTACTCTAACCTTGTCCCCTGGGTTGTTGGGTGCTGTCAAATCAGCGCTGCTCATAGCAATCCCACGTGATCGTGATCTAGAAGAACTGCTGGTCAGATTTTCTTGATTGTAATCTTTACAGAAGCCAAGTCTCTCCTGTGGAGCTACTAAGTGGGTTTTACTTTTTTAAAGTTACTGAGCACTGAACTGTTATGCCCTCCCCAAACAACCTCTTTGATTCCTGTAGTACCTGGCTGTCTTTTGTCCCTGTTTGTTTTTCCTGACCTAAGTGCTCTCTCCACCACCCTTTCTAGTCTGGTGCTAAGTCCTAAATATTTAGGGTCTGTTTAAGCACTTCCGTACTTTGCAGTCTTTTTTTTCCCAACACAATTACTCACCTTTGCTCTTTACCATGCCCTTGTCACTATTTTTAGTCTTATAGGCAGCCTCCCTTGAAATAAACCACAGATTATCCAGATGCTCTCTTGTCCCTTACATGGGTCCCCACAACCCTCTAATCATGGAGCTCAGCCTCTTTCTTTTCCTCTCCACAGCTAAGTTGTGTTGTTTCTTCCTAGCCCAGGTGAGGTCCCTTGGCCAGGATGTCCGGCCTGGTGTTGGGGCAACGGGATGAGCCTGCAGGCCATCGGCTGAGCCAGGAGGAGATCCTGGGGAGCACTCGGCTGGTGAGCCAGGGGCTCGAGGCCCTACGCAATGAACACCAGGCAGTGCTGCAAAGCCTGTCCCATACCATTGAGTGTCTGCAGCAAGGAGGCCATGAGGAGGGGCTGGTGCATGAGAAGGCCAGGCAGCTGCGAATTTCCATGGAAAACATCGAGTTGGGGTTGAGTGAGGCCCAGGTGAGATAGTGGAGGTGGACCAAGTGGATTAGGGTGGATAAAGGAGCAGGTGTCGGGCTAGATTGGGACCACTTAGGATCCCCTTATCCTAGATGTGTGAATTCTTTAATTCAAGCAGAAAATATTATGTTCCTACAATTGCCAGGCACTTTTCTGAACAATGGAGCTGCATCACTGAAGACTGCTGTCTTAGAGCTTGGAACATAGCTAGGGGAGGCAGAAAATACACAAATCAATAAGCAAATGATGGTATGTGCCAGAGTGATAAGTGCTGAGGAGGATAAAAGTAAAAAACATTATAGGCAGTTATAGCATAAACAGAAATACACAATTTTAAGTTTGAGGTGGGGGGAAGCCTACTGGCGTTGAGTCAGTTCTAACTCATAGTTACCTATGAAAACAGAATAGTACTCCATAGAGTTTTCAGTGTAAGTCTTTATGGAAGCAGATTACCACATGTATCTTACACAGAGTAGATGGTCAGGTCAGGTCACCAACATTGTGGTCAGTAGCTAAACTCTTAATCACTGCACCATGAGGACGCTTTAATTTTAGATAGGGTGGCCTATCTAAAAAATGATCTCACTGACAAAGTGCATTTGAGCAAAAATTTAAGGATGAGGGAGAATGCTCTTAAAATAACTAGAGAAAGAGCAACTTAGGCATTGAGAGAATAGCACATGCAGAGGCCCTGAATTGGAGCCTGGGAAGAACAAAGACCAGTGAGGAGCGAGTGTGGCTGGAAGAGAATGAACAAGGGAAAGGAAAGTAGAAAATGAAGTTTGAGAGGTGATGGGGTTGGAAGAAAGGAAGATAGATCATGTGGAAGTTGAGGGCTGTCATAAAGATTGTGTTTTCTTTGAGTGAGATGGATGCTTTGGGATGTTCTGAGTCGTGGCATGACTGAACCCAAGTGTGACTGAACATTTTAAAAGGATCCATTTGGTTCCTGGTTTGACTCTACAGGTGCAAGACTAGGGAGACCAGTGAGTAGGCTGCGGTAGTAACCTGGGTGGGAAATGATGATGGCGAAGCCCATGGTAGTGCCAGTGTGTGTGATAGGAAATTGCACTGAAGGTACATTTTGGAGGTAGAGCCATTGTTAATCGCAACCTGATCTGCACCCCTTCCTGTCTTGCCACCTCCCAGCAGGCTCCTTACCTCCTTGCCCCTGAGAACTCTGGTCCAGAGTCTGGAGTTCGCAGGATGCGTCCCCCCTCCCCCTAGGTGATGCTGGCTCTAGCCAACCACTTGAGCACAGTAGAGTCAGAGAAACAGAAGCTTCGGGCTCAGGTGCGGCGACTCTGCCAGGAGAACCAGTGGCTCCGGGATGAGCTGGCTGGCACCCAGCAACGGCTGCAGCGCAGTGAACAGGCCGTGGCTCAGCTGGAGGAGGAGAAGAAGCACCTGGAGTTCCTGGGACAGTTGCGGCAATATGACGAGGATGGGCACACCTCGGTGAGTGACGAGGCTGGTTGGGGGCAGGTATTACCACAAACATGGGGACAGTTGACCTTCACCTATGGAGGCCAGCAGCTCTGCTGACCTATCCCTAGATGGAGAATTCCTGTTTTCAGGCCTAAAAATCCAGATGACAGCAAGGGGAAAAGGATATTAATTCAGTCATCCAGCATTTTTTAATTAAGTGCTTATGCTGTGTTGGACCCTGGTGCACATTACAGGAGATGTTACCGTGAAGGCAGGCTTGGTCCCTGCTCTCACAATGATGGTTTTGTGAAAGGGTGCAGGTGAAACCATAGGGGTGGAAAGCTGGTGTGTGCCAGGGAAACTGAGAAAATGATCTGCGTAGGATGTAGATTGGTCAGGCTGGAGACAGACAGGGACATAAGTAATTCTAAAACAGAATCTCAACTACTACAATGAGAGAAAGCATAGCTGAGATGAGTAATAAAGTTTACTTTCAAAACATGAAAAAAATTGAACAGGCATTTATAGATACTGCCTTTAGAGTGTGAGAAAATGCATGCAGGGGAAATGGGAGGAACTATATAAGAGAATTCCTGTCCTCTTGAGCTTGTAATGTAGGTGTAAGGGCAAGGCTTACATGTGAGGACATGCATGTGACTATTCAAATAGCAAGTGCTCGTTGCTTGATGAGTAGGCTGGTCACTGTGGCAGGACTCCAAAGAGATATATTCTGGAGTATATTTAAAAGTCTGAGGAACCACAGAGGACGTAGGGCTCAGTGATGGATAGAGCTTTGAATGGATTTTCTACTTGAATGAGTTTGGGACTGGATTGAGTTTGGCAGGTGACCAGGGAAAGGGGGAAATCCCTGGGTAGTTTGAACAGTTAATGACTCAGCTTCTAACCAAAAGGTTAGAGGTTCAAACGTACTCAAGGCATCTTGGAAGAAAGGTCTTGTCTGGTGATCAGCTTCTGAAAAATTTGTCACTGAGAGTCTATGGGGTGCACTTGTACTCTGACGCACATGGGGTCACTATGGGTTGAAATCCACTTGTCAGCAGTTGGTTTTGTGTTTGGAAGAAGAGGGAGGAGCGTTCTTAACTGAGACACAGATAAGACTGCAGGGTTGGAAAGCTAGTGTGTCCCGGGGAAAGGGAGAGGATGATTTGCATAGGACACAGACTGGTCAAGCTGGCCAGGAGGGCTGGAAGTGTTTAAACAAAAGCTTCAATTCCTGCTCGGGGAAGAGCACATTTACCCAGTGTGAGGAAAGTAGGTTAGATAGTGAGAGTTGGAGGCTCTAAGTCTCCAGGTGGCAAATGATGGACACAGGACTGAGCTAGACACATGGGGGTACTTGCCAATAAGCTGAGACACACACTCCCTGCCCTCAGGAGAGCCAGGACAGACATATAATCAGTGTAAACACACGGGGATCAGCACAAGGATAATCAGCTATAATTACAAGAGTTGAGGAGGAGAGGAGCCTAGGGAATGAGGGTGGGTGGAAGGAAATTTTCTGCATGTGAAGGAAGAGAAGATTATGAGATACTGGCCTAAACATCTCTGGCTCTAACAAGGCTCAAATTTGCCAGGGCCAGGTGCTGGGACAGGGACAGAAATAAGGATCTTCTCGCTGGCCCCATCTGTCAGAGATTTCATGGCTCAGAGGGGTCCTTGTAAAGTGTATTGAGAGCTTTTTTGTGTTGTTGCTTCTAGGAGGAGAAGGAGGGTGATGCCAGCAAGGATTCCCTGGATGACCTCTTCCCCAATGAGGAGGAAGAGGACCCCAGCAATGGCTGTGAGTCGGCGTGTGGAGTTGGAATGTGACAAGGGATGATGGCAGGAGGCTGGTCCCAGCTGTGGCTTACCCTGTACATAGCATACTCACCATCAAGAAATAGGTTCTGCACTGCTCCTGAAGATGGAGCAGGGATCTAGGGTAGTACTTAGATTTCCTCAGGCTCTTTAGTCATCAGACACTTAATTCATGCTAGGCACTAGGAATACCAAGCTGAATAAGACATAGATCTTGCCATTAAGGAGTTCACAGTGTAGTGGGAGAATGACCTAGAAATGGAAATGGGCAGAGCATGATTGCCTTAAAGGAAAGAACCAGATCTTTCCTCTTTGTATGCCTGGTACACCCCCTGACTCATGTTTATGGAGTCAATGTTGAATGAATGAAGTGAACGAATGAACTCTTACAAAGGAGTGAACAAAAGAATAGCAGCTGAGGCAGGTCTTGAGTGTGAGGCACGGGTCAGGGTTGGGTGGAGCACAGGCTTGGGAAGAGGGCTTGGGGTTTGGGTGGGAAAAGCAGACAACAAAGGGGGGAGGAGGAAGTCTGAGTTTTCTGTTTATTTTCTGGGATGGTTCAGTGTCCCGTGGCCAGGGTACCCAGCCCGGTGGCTATGAAATCCCAGCGAGGTTGAGGACACTCCACAACCTGGTGATCCAGTACGCAGCGCAGGGTCGCTATGAGGTGGCTGTGCCGCTCTGCAAGCAGGCACTGGAGGACCTGGAGCGCACGTCTGGCCGGGGTCACCCTGATGTTGCCACCATGCTCAACATCCTTGCCTTGGTGTATCGGTGAGTGCTGCCCTCCTCCAACACCATGAAGCCTTCCTCCAGGTTTCCATCTTGACCCTCCATTGGTACAGGCTACCTCTCCTCCCTGCTGGGCCTCCCAGGTACCCTCAACTAAGGTGCTTTCTCATGTACCAAAACGCCTATGTTTCCCATATTTTGTCCTTGATCTCAGAGAATACTCATTTCTCAGGCACTTTGCTTCCTAGTCTATCTTTTGGGATAGTCTCTTTTTCTTGTTTCTGTCTCTTGTGTTCTGTAACCAGTGGCCCACTCTGGAGGTGGTAGTGCTTTGCATTCAAGTATGAGTGTTAGTGAACCCCTCTTAACTGCCACACCAGGCTTATCTCTTCTTTGGGGTCCTCAATCCCTAAATGTACTCCAGCCCTCGTAATGGGAGTGAGAGAACTTGGGAACAAAGTTCCAGGTAATCTTGTCATCTTTTTATTCTTCCAGGGACCAGAATAAGTATAAAGAAGCTGCCCACCTACTGAATGATGCCCTCAGCATCCGAGAGAGCACCCTGGGCCGGGACCACCCTGCTGTCAGTATCCCTTACCGTCTCTTCCCTCATCTCCACACTCTCTCTCTTATGCCATCCATCTGCTACTAGAGATGTACTCACTGTAGGTGCTCAGGAAAAAAGATGTTCGAACACTACTTTCCTTCACAGAACTAGTGATCATCAACTCTGGGAGACCCAAAGATTTCTTTTTTTTTCTCTTGTGTGTCATCGAGGATATTGCTCCTCCTTTTCCAGCAGAGCATCTGGTGGATTCGAACTGCTCTCCTTTGGGATTGCAGTGCAGCTTCTTACCACGAGGCCACCAGAGCTCCCTGCAATGATTTCTTTTTAATGATAGTATGTTCCTGAAATCATAGATAATGTAACCTGCCAACACATATCATTTCCGTAAGAGCCAATATGATATCTAGTTAATAATATAAAAGGAAAATAATTGACAAGAAAATAATATTGAGTACAATTGTGCTAGAAGATGTAAAGTAGGCTGAAGCTTATATATAATGGATACATTTGGATTTGGGAAAACAGCACGCAGAAGCCTATGCATATTAGAAATACTAGCAAAATGACGGAGGGCTGGCCTACAACATATGAGTTAGGACAAACCACAATTAGACACTTCTGTCTCTTTTTTATTTTTTTTTTTTAGCATCTTATTGTTAATAATATGTACTACAATTAAAATATATTTTTTGTTTATATATAGTGTTTCCCAACCATCAAAAGCAAATAAAAATCAGACTTATAAGATACTACTAATAAAAGGCAATAGTAATGAAAGCTTGAAAAAAGAAAAAGGTGTTTGATGTGCATCTGAACCAACTTATGGTGGAGTCTTGTAAGTCGGAAACTGCCTGTGCTAGACTGAAAGCTAGTGTTAGGATAAGTAACCATAGATTTATTTGTATATTATGAAAGCTAGAAATACCTATGTAGGGATAGCATACCAAGACAAATTACAGATTGTTAAAGTGAAGAAATGAGAAATAGGACATTTTTGTTTGTTTTTTGTTTTGTTTTTTTTATTTTGTGTGCGTGTACCGTCAAATCAGATCTGACTGGTACAGGAGGATATTGCGCCTCCTTCTCCGGCAGAGCATCTGGTGGATTTGAACCGTGTTCCTCTGGGATTGCGTGCAGCTTCTTGCCACTAGGCCACCAGAGCTCCCCTGAAATAGGACATTTTTAAAAAAGAGCTGACAGTGTGAAAATAATTTGTGTTACAACATGTGATAGGCAGGGGTGATGTATCCCAGAAACATAGCTCCCATCCTGATACCCACCAAATGTCAAAGCAGGCGCTCAGTGTTTGAATGTCTGGCAGGACGTTCAGAAGCTGGCAGAGCTGTCCCACACATGCAGAACATCTGTAGCGTTCTTGCTTTTACTAAGGTAATAGTGCCCAAGTCTTTATGTAACCAGAACACACCCCCAAAATAAATTTCCTAAAGTCCCCTTAGGGGATGATACTACACTCACAGAGAACTTCAACCTACAGCGAACAGCCATTTGCCAGTTGAGTCTGTGCCAAACTCATCCGGACCCCCGAGTGTCTAAGTAGAACTGTGCTCAATTTGGTGGTCATTGGCTGGTATGTGGAACTAGATAGCCAGGCTTTTCCCTAGGTGCTTCTGTGTAAACACAGACCTTCAGTCTTTTGATTAGCAGCTGGGCATGTTAACTGTTTGAGTTAGCCAGGACCCCCAAGAGAACCTCAGGCCCACCGCAGTCAGTCATATTCTCTTCCCTTGCCATGCAGTTGTGTATAGGGCCCCGCTGGGGATTAGATTCTTATATGTTCTTTGCAGGCATTGCTATCTGATGGGAACAAGCCTCTCTTTGTAGGTGGCTGCCACACTCAACAATCTGGCTGTGCTCTATGGAAAAAGGGGCAAATATAAGGAGGCAGAGCCGCTGTGCCAGCGGGCACTGGAGATTCGTGAAAAGGTGCACAGACACTCTTTCTCTTCTCCCCTTGTCCTTCACTTGTCCTTGATCTACCCTTTTTTCCCACCTCGTTTTTCTCCCATCTTTGCCTTGTTCCCTCTTCCATCATCCCCTTCCCTTTGCTCCCATTGCATGATACACACACACATTTATGTGTGTGTGTAATATGTGTAAAAAAGGCTACATAAGGACGGCCATACCTTTACTAGCTTCCCAGATGGGAACCGTCTCTGTCAGCAGCATAGCATCAGTAACAAAACCAGTTCTCAGGAGTTCAGACATGTCTTCCCTGTTCCCATATCTCTTTCTACTCAACATCAATATTACTACTTTATTGGATTCAAAATCTGATTCAAGAACTCACAGACCACACAGAACCATGTTGAAGAAGTTAAAAGGTTATAATCCAGGTTAGTAGCAGAATACATTCAGGACAGACAGCTTCTGAAATGTGCACGCAGATACCTCAGCCTTGAGCCTGATGGCTTTAGACCAGGATTACAGAGTTCTCAGTCTTGCCAGTATTGGCTCCCTCCCACCCTAGTCTTAGCCAGTCTTTCTAAGTTCTCAGTCTATGAATTATGCCCCCCCCCCATCCCCAGTTGCCAAACAAACTTGGGCAAAGGCTCTTAGCTCCATTTCCAGTGGTGTAGCAGTCCAAAGGTCCCATCTCACACTAGGTTTGGCCATGGCTGCTGCTGCTGTAGGTGTAGCTGGAGCAAGAATGTCTGGTCTTGGAGGGCATCCTACATTTTCCTGCTTCTTTTTTGAAGGGGCAAGGAAAGTCTAATTCTCCTGCTGCTGGATTGGTCACTTTAATGGCAAGACTAGCCTGTCCCCTTGTGGATTGGGAGATAGCCATTTATTTCCCTTTGGGACAGGCTAACATATCCCATTCACGTATTCCCACCCATCTACATAGCAAAGTCAAGCGATGGCTAGGAAAGTCATATTGAAAGATAAACTGCACAGCATATACACACACTTGTTTCTTGTGTACAATTGTTTGTTGGTTCCTTGGCTCCTCCCCAGGTCTTGGGCACTGACCACCCAGATGTGGCGAAGCAGCTAAACAACCTGGCCTTATTATGCCAGAACCAGGGCAAGTACGAGGCTGTGGAGCGCTACTACCGGCGGGCACTGGCCATCTATGAGGGGCAGCTAGGGCCAGACAACCCTAATGTAGCTCGGACCAAAAACAACCTGGTAAGAGAGGAAATGGCAAAATGGACAGGAGGAGGGCAATGGAGAGGTCAGCTGAGCCCTGGAATCAGAGCCCTTTCCTCCTTTATGCCTAACTCTGGGATTGCCTTTGGAGCTAAGGGTCTGCTTCATCCTGGTGGGAAAGTAGAAGTTCCATAGCCTTTTGAGTGGGGTGGGGTTGCCTCTGACCTGGTAGTTATAAAAAGAGGTGTGAGAAGGCTCTCTGGGAAAGTCGTAAAAAGACCAAGAAGTGGAAATCCCTGAGCCTGAAAAGACCCTGGCTAAAATAATCTCTGGTGCCTGTGTTTTTGCCTTCCTTGCCTCTGTTTGCCAGGCTTCCTGTTACCTGAAACAGGGCAAATATGCTGAAGCTGAGACACTGTACAAAGAGATCCTGACCCGTGCCCATGTGCAAGAGTTTGGGTCTGTGGATGGTGAGTGATGAAGGCCTGGGAAGGGGGCGACAGGGAGGGAAAGGAGTGTATGCCAAAGGTGGGTTGTGAGGCCACAGTGGTTCTCAGGGGAGCAGGACCCTTTTAGTCCAGGCCTGTTGGCCTCAGGGCCCTGGCCCCCCCCATACTCTCCAGATCAGTTCTCTAACCTGCCCACCCCACTCCATATATCACCTTCAGATGATCACAAGCCCATCTGGATGCATGCAGAGGAACGGGAGGAAATGAGCAAAGTGAGTTGGGGCACCCAGCCTGGGAGCCCAAAACTACCAGGGTCTCTGTCATATTCCTTGCACTAAGCAAGCTCTGGACTTCTGACACTAGTCACTAGTCCCATTTGCATGGTGCCTTCCCAGCCCAGCCTGTATCTTACCCCCATGCCAGCTGGTCCCCAGGATCTCTGTGCTCTCAGCTCTGGCTCACTGTCCTCTTGCAGGGCCGGCACCGTGATGGGACACCCTATGCTGAGTATGGGGGCTGGTACAAGGCCTGCAAAGTGAGCAGGTGAGCTGCCTGTGAGAAGCTGGCTTAGCCTCTGATGTCTAGTACCCTACATTCAATCCCTGGTCCCAGCCTCCTTAAATTTTCCCTTCTCCCCTTTGACCTTTTCTCAGCTTTAGTTCCATTCTCTTTATAATAATTCCATTTCTGAATGCACTGTTACTTCCTTCCCTGGTTTTGTCCTCCACAGCCCCACGGTGAACACTACTCTGAGGAACCTAGGGGCTCTGTACAGGCGCCAGGGAAAGCTGGAGGCAGCTGAGACCCTGGAGGAATGTGCCCTCCGTTCCCGGAAACAGGTTGGTGATGTAGAGAAAAAGGAGGTTGGGGAACGAAGGGCCCTGAGGACTGCGGGACGACTGAGGCTCCTTGTGAACTTCATCCTGAGAAGTTAACGTGTGGAGAGGCTCACTTCTTTCCATTTTCTTCCAGGGCACCGACCCTATCAGCCAGACCAAGGTGGCAGAGCTGCTTGGGGAAGGCGACAGTGGCAGGATCTCCCAGGAGGGCGCAGGGAGCAGTGTGAAATTTGAGGGAGGCGAAGAGGCCTCTGTGGCTGTGGAGTGGTCAGGGGTAAGTCTGATCATTATTTGATCTCTCCTGCCCACGTGTGTGTGTGTGTGTGTGTGTGTGTGTGTAATAAAACATCTGTCATTTTATAATTCAGTGACATTAATTATATTCATCATGTTGTTCAACCATCATTTCCAAATTTTTCTATCATGCGTAACAGAAACTCAATGTTCCTGAAATAATAAGTGTATCTCTCCTGCTCCCTCCCATCCATCTTTAACTAATAACCACTAATAAACTCTGGTTCTTAATAAACAAGTTAGTAAACACTTGCTCCCCCACCAACTCTTGCTGATGGTGGTGAGAGGCTCTTCTCTAGGCCTTTGTGGGGTCTGAGGGCATCTGGTCCCACTAGACCACCTAGCTCCATCCCTATCAAGGTTCTCCCTGGGAGTGAGCTTTTGACAGCATCTTTGTTTTCAATCACTGAGCTTTGTGAGGGAAGTTCTGCAGAATAAATGGCAGATGTAGACTCAGAAGCCAGTCTGCATGGCGTCTCATTAGCTTCTTCTGTTCTCTATTCTGTCCCCCTGTCCCCCAGGATGGAAGTGGGACCCTGCAGAGGAGTGGCTCGCTGGGCAAAATCAGAGATGTGCTTCGCAGAAGCAGTGAGCTTCTGGTGAGGAAGCTCCAGGGGAATGAGCCCCGACCTTCCAGGTAACATGATTAAATTGTGATGTGGTAAAACAGGCAGATAAACCCTTGCCTCTAGCTTCTTTTGACCTCATCTCTGGAGAAAAACCTTGGAAAGAAACATGGAGGAGGTCAAAGGAATGGAGTTGGAGGGAGAATTTGATTAGAATGGGTGTCCCCAGGGGGGAATGAGGGTGGAGAGAGGGAGAGTGAGAGTGAGAGAGGGAAAAGGGGAGACAGAGGGAGAGAGTGTGCGAGTGTGTGTGTAAAAGCAATGGTGGATAGGCAGCAATTTGAGAACAAGGCCTCAAGCGTGATTACAGTGCTAAAGAGGCCTTGAAACTTTAGGGTCACTCAAAGAGAGGATGTCAGTGATTTCTTTTTTTGTTGCAGCAGCAACATGAAACGTGCAGCCTCCTTAAACTATCTGAACCAGCCCAATGCAGTACCCCTTCAGGTGAGAGCCTTGCCCTCTGACAGCAAGCAATCAGGTTGTTAGGGTGGGGAAAGAGAGAGCCCACTGAGGCGAAGAAGATTCAAAGAGTCATGTAGGAATCTGGCAGACAGCTTTAGGGAGTTGTGATTATCAAGGGACAGTTTGGGGCCAGAGTTAGTAGCAAATCACTTAATCATGAGAACAGGAACTGCTAAACTGGTACATGGAATCAAGACTAATTCAAGAGTGATTTGGAGGCATTGATTGCTCTTCTGTTGCCTCACCTTAGGAATTTAGTAGTGAGAAGGGGAAACGGGGGCAATCAGTTATCTTTGCTGAAGAGAATACTAATGGTATTTTTAATAGGAAATGACCGCTTGTATAAACACATTCATTGAGTTCAACTCATGGTCATTGATTAAGTGGCTTTTCAGAAGCTGTAAATTGTATGTGAGGGGAGAGCCCATCCCTCTCTCAAGAAATAGCTGGTGAATTCGAACTGCCATCTTTTGGGTTGGCCACTATGTCACCAAAGCTGCCTAATTAATTGATTGTTGTATGCTATAGAGTCAGAACTGACTCACAGCTGACCCGCTAGCAGGTTTCATGCTGTAAATAGCAGCAGGTATTTAAGGCCCAGAGCTTAGACCTAGAATTCTAGGCTTGGTTCTAGGTCCAGAGATATTTTGCAGCCATGAGATGGCTAAAGTCCAGGGAACAGTATTTGGAGGTTGAGGTCTCTGGGCTGATGAGGTGTTATCTGTTTCAGGGATCTCGAGGCCTCAGTGCCAGTACCATGGACTTGTCTTCACGTAGCTGACACTCAACCTAAACAGCCTCCTCCCCAGATCTGCTGGGTCCTCACAGCATTCCCCATTGCTTGTGGCTCCAGGGAGTGCAGTTTAATGGGGGATTGCTGTTGCCGCTAGGGTCTCAGCCCCCTCCTCAGGAATCCCCCTCAGGAAGGACCCTCTGGACACTATCTCCACTCTATGGTCCTAACAGCGAACTCTGAGACCTCAATGATGTGCAAGAAGCAGTTATACACCTCAGAGATGCTGCCTGCTGCTGGCTTCTCTATCAGAGGGTTTAGGGGCTGGCCAGCCAAGTCACCTCGCCCTGGCCTCTCCTATACTCCTGCTGCCTCACTTCAGGTCCATATATTTCACTTTTCTTAAAAATAAAAGAATCAGGTAATCATTCTGCTACTTGAGTTCTGATTAAAGTGGGTAGAAGGAAAGGGCTTGGATGAACTGTACCCCCTCCGCCAAATATCTGTTGTAAATCTAACCTCTATGTCTGTGGTTATAACCCCATTTGGAATAGGTTGTCTTTGTTATGTTAAGGAGATAGGATTAGTGCAGGATGTGTTTTAAGTCAGTCTCTTCAGATATAAAAGAGATTAAAAAAGCAATGGAGAGAAGAGAGAAGCAGAGACACTGCATGAGCACCCAGGAACAGAAGCTCAAAAGAGACAAAGACTGTCCTCCAGAGCTCACACACAAAGTTTTCCTCTAGAGCCAGCACTCCGAATTCGGACTTCTAGCCTCCTCACCTGTGAGAAAATAAATATGATCAAAGTCATCCACTTGTGTTAATTCTGTTATAGCAGCTCTAGGTCACTTGGACATCTTCACTTAAGGGAGAAGGGCAGTGATGGTTGGGGCATGAGGAGGCGTGTTGATTCTTGGATGTCTCCTCTTCCTTACCCTGTTTATATCCTCTCCACCGTGGTCTTCAGGAAGGCAGCTGGGGGTGGGGGAGGAGGCCCACAACTGAAGGAGAAGGTGCTGTGGACTGGGCTGTTGGGGACATGTGGTAGCCATGTGGCAGGACCCTGGAGTCCTGGCGCCACTGCTCCAGGCTCCGTGGTTGCCCCTCCTCCTCCCAGCTGCTTGGGGGAAGGGAGGTCTCTGAAGGCCTGGGGGGCCCTCTGGAACCAGAGGGGGCTGAAGAGGCACTCTCCATCCCCTCTCAGCATATCCTGGAGGCATGAGCAGCAGCTGGGGCCCATCTTCTAAAGCTTGACTCCTCTTGACCCGCCTCCTACACCCCTTGCTGCTTTCACAACAAAGAAAGAATGTGGGGGTGGTGGCGCTGGGGGTGTGGGGGGGTGCCTGGAACAAGGGCTGTGCTCTGCCTCCCCACAGCTGGGGACTTGGCCATGCCCTGACACAGCCCCAGACAGCCGGGAGATGGACTTGGGATGCATTTGTCAGTTTTAACAGCCTTAGCCTGGTGATCAGAGCCCGGTCTGCATCTACCTTTGGGTTCAGATTGGTCCAGAGCCAAATCTGAGCCAAGTCACGCACTCCTCCTCTCCTCCTCCAGGCTGCAGCTGTCCGGGGACTCCACACCACCTCTGGACACCCCGCTGTCCTAGGTCACCCCCTCTCCTTCCAGAGGAGGACAGAGCTCACCCTTTCCCTTCTCTTCCTTCTGGCCCACTCCCACGCCCATCCCAGCCCCATTCTCGAGAGTTCTTGGGAAACTGATGGTGGAACCCCCTAGGAAGGCCCAGGACCAGAATGAATCATCTTCCCCAACGGTCAAGTAAAATCACAAAAATCACTCTGGTTCCCTCGGGTCTCCTGCAGAGTGCAAGCGGTGGGAGAAGCCTGCACTCCCCAACATCGCTTAGGTCCCTGGTATCTCTGGAGTCCCCCTACCTCCCTCCTTCTGCTCCCTATCTCTCTCAGATCCCTCCTCCACGCCAACAGCGAGCTCCTCCTTTACCGCAGCGGGGAGGGGGCGTCCAGGGGGCGGGGCGCCGCGCGCAGGCCGGCGAGGAGGGGGCGTCGCTGGGCGGAGCTTTAGGGTGGCGGCGGCGCGCGGGGACTCGGGGGTGCCGGGAGCGCGCGGCTAGGGCTCCGGACGCCTCCGGCTCGAACTCGGGCTCCGGCTGCGGCTGCAGCGGCTCCCGCGCTCCGGTGCGCTCAGCCTCTCGGGCCGGCCGCGGAGCGTAGTCCACGCGCTCTCCGTGCGCCCTCGGTCGTCCTCCTGGAGCCCGCTGCGATGCGAGCTGCGCGCGGAGCCCGAGGCAGCCCGCCTAGGCTGCCTTTTCTTAGCGTCCTGCTACTGCTGCTGGGCGGTGAGTTCCGTCGTTCTGGGGAAGCGGGGCTTGCGAAGCGCGGGAGCCCCGCAGGCAAACGAGGCGCTCGGGAAGGAGGGTGGATTTAGGCTGCAGGGCAGAGAAAGAAATCCTGGAGTGGAGAGGCTTGTCCGGGGAACGAGGGGCCAGGAACCCGGCTAGGCTCCTATGGATTCGATCTGGGCCCCTTCTCCGGCGCCGGTGGAGACGCTTTTCCAGCCTCCACAAGAGTTTACCTGGTTTGGCCAGAGAGTTTGTTTGGCATTTGCCGGAGTTACAGGCTTCGGGCCCAGATGGACAGTTTCTTTTGGGAGGAGATAGTACTACCCACCGTGGCGAGTGGCTGGGTGGTAAGAGAGACGGTCCCCCAGGCTCAGCCCAGGTAAAGGAGGCACAGTTGGGCCGGATGCCGGACAGACCTGGGGCGCACAAAGCTCTGAATCTTTGTTACCTACGCCGGCCCAGCGCTCCCGGCTTCCTGACTCCAAGTTCCTGGGCAAAGCTAGGATCCTGAACAGCCCTGCTTGTGAGGGAAGAGGGGGAAAAGAGGAATTAGGGACCTCTCCACCTCCTTTAGCTTCTGGGCTCGAAACCCTGAGTCCAATCCCTGCCTTGGCCGAATTAGGGGAGTGGGAGTCCCAGGCTGTCGAGGTACTAATGTGTGAAGGCTGCTGCCAAAATCGGGCATGGCCGGCCTGCAAAGGTGCGGACGGGGTTTGTTCTGCTGGTTCCTGGATTTACATCCTGTCTGTCCTCGTGGAAGAAAGAAAATCTCTCTGGGCAGAAAGAGTTCATTCTGTCTTTTCTTGGAGGGCCTCCGCATTTTGATGAGGGTGTGGCCTGCATCCCCAGGGCAGACAGAAGCGCTCCCCTTCAATACCCCCCAACCTGTATTTCCTAGTTTGGTCACACCTGAGAGTCACCACGGAGCTGTGGAAGGGACACACAGGAAAAACACCAAGCTATCATCTGCACACACCTCAGCTGCCTGGATTGAAAATCTACTCTTACCCCCCAAACACACAAGATCTTTGGTGGTGACCCTCATAGAAGCTCCCTCTTGGACAGCTGTGCCAGGAGACCTCATCCTAGTTTCTTTTGGCCTCTCCTTTGAGAAGTGGCCGTTGGGCTGGGGGGGGGGGTGCACTAGAAATGGCCTTTTCTTGCGCCTCCCAGGCCGGCCTGCCAGCTGTGGAGTGGTTTTGGTAACTGATGGAATCAACTTTTCCCCCACCCCTGCGGTATAAGGAGAGGTAGTTGTAAACTGGGACAGAGAGGTAAGCACGAGTTTCAGGGATTTCTAGGAGGTGTTTCTGGAGCTGCCCTGTGTTCCTTCTGATGTGTAGAGTGGTTATTGCTCCTGGCAGAATGCACATCTGCTTCCAGAGGAAGTATGGATGTTTCTTGTGCTGCCAGGATCTGGGGCCCAGCCTGGGCTCACCAGCACCCCCCCCCCCGGGTTGCCTGCTTGGGTTTAGGGGTTCTGGTTGTCCCATACAGCTGCCTTTTTTCTGTTGGCCATTCTAGAGTCCACGGTAAATTTCTAATGGAGTTGTGGCTCTTGTTCAACAAATGCTAAATTCCGAAATTCCTTCCGTGAGAAGATGGCTCTGATGTTAATCAATGTTAATCCGGTAACGGGTGTTTAGCTGTGGGGGAAGTTAGGGCAGGCTGAGGGCTTGGGACTGGAGGTCTGGAATCTCCTCCAGGGGGATGTGTGTGGGGGTGTTGAGGGAGATGTCTTGTGCTCAACAGAAACAATTTAATGAGAGCCTTAAATCAGTTCCACCAAATGTGTCTTGTTGTGGAACCTGGCCATGTGCTGTAAACAATTTCAGCTGAGGCGCCTGCTGTCTTCTGGTGGAATCCGGGACTCGACCCACCCCTGGACAGCATGACTTCAGGGGGCAACGATTTTTTAATAGATCACAGTAGAGTTTTCCATCTTGTTGTTTAACTGCATCATTAGCTAGAGTTGTAGTGAGACCCTGCTGTTAATAAGGCTGGAGTAAGAGACCTAGGCTGGTTAGGTTTGTGGAGGAGACCAGTTTGAAGTTCGGGTAATTATGCTGTAAATGGCTGAGTAACTTTCCAAACTTTAAGATCCGTATTGTGATAAATATGGTAAAGGAGGAGGATGAGAGGGCTTAATGTTTGAAACCTGGAGATCTTAACTCCAACTGCTTGAATAGCTATTGATGGTCACTGCCAGCCCCCTCCCCCTCCCTGGGTTTTTCCCTCTCCCAGGATTTATTTCTTTGGGGAAATTGAGTTGTCACATTGTGGGATAGCTGACCTGCAGATCCCCCAAGGCTCTGTAGCCTATAATTTAGTTGCTCTTATCAGTGATGAGTTTTCTCAGACATTGAGGAGGATAGTGGGAGGGCAGGGGTAGTCTCCTGGTACTTCATTTGCCAAAACTCTACTTGCAGCGTGATGCACCCTGTCTCAGAAACCTCGGTGTCTCCACATGGCCTACAGGTTAGAAGTAGTCAACTCCTGGTGTTTAGGGTGGCAAGATGGAGAGAGCTTGATGAGGGGACATGAACTATTTGGCAAAGAAGTAACTCAGACTCATTCAGAGCAGATATCTTGATCCGTTTGCCTCCTGTGAAAAGGTGCTCCCTGGAGTTGTGTGTCACATGCAGTGAAGTATATAAAGGGCCTGTTTCTATTCTTGCCTCCCTTTTAGAATGTTTCCATCACACTTGACCAGCTTTCCAGTCATTCCCAACAATGAACATTGCCCACCTTGTTTCTGTCAGAACTTTCCATTCTCATTACAAATGAAGACATACCTGGGAGTTCCTGGGTGGTACTAATAGTTAAACACTTGGCTGCTGACTGCAAGTTTGGAGGTTAAAGTCTACTCAGAGGCCTGAGTAGAAAGAAATGCCTGGTGACCTAGGAAGTACACAGTTCTGTTTTGATGCGCAGGGATTGCCAGGAGTGGAAGTGAACTTGATAGCCACTTTGTGGGTTTTTGGGTTTTTTTTTTTCTTTAAAGACACTCAGTGGTTTTTTTTTTTTGTGTGTGTGTGAGACAGAATTGTCTAGGTAGTGGGGGTTAGTTTTCTCTGGTCATTCCTTCCTTTTAAGTTAGCCCCCTTGTGTGTCTTGCCACCCCCTTTTCCATCCTTAGCATTTGAGGTCCTTTGCACGCTTTCCAGATTCTTTGGGTTTGAAGTTGCCTGTTCTTCTGAATCAAAGGGTCATACCTTCCTATCCTATTTCTGACCTTTTTGGGTTCCCCCCAGCAGAGTTTTCATGTGACGGGTCTGGCTTTCCCCATGAATTCTCCGCCTTTTACAGTAACATAGCACATCAGACTCTGTAGAAATCTTTAATAATGTTCATTATCAATTTTAATGGTAGAAGAAGACGTGGTATAGTTGTAGATGTTCCTTGTATTATGTGAATACCAATAACAACATGATGAAGGATGTGTAGTTGGAATATAAGGCATGATAGAATTTTGCAAGACCAACAACTTACTCACTTATTCAACTTATTTCTCCACCTCCTCAGCAAATATAAATAAAATAGCAGTTGTATGTGTGGACCTTGCTGGGCGGAATATATAGGAATTGAGTAGATTACGTCTGTGGAAAGAGACGAGGGTGAAGCACCATAGCATCAATCAGAACAAGGCCAGGGCCTGATTGTGAAACGGACCATCAGTTGTTCAGATGCAAGTTCAGGTGGAAGCTGAAGAAAATGAAAACATCCACGAGAGCAAAGTGTGACCTTGCGTATATCCCACCTGAATTTAGAGACCATTTCCATGGTCAATTTGATGCACTGAACATTAATGACATTGATTAGACAAGCATGACATCAAGAATATCAGACATAAAGAAAGCAGAATGTCATTAAAACAACAGCAAAACGAGGAGAGCAATGAGGGTCCAAATGGATGCTAGAAGAGGTTCTGAAAATTGTTCTTGGATGCAGAGCAAAGCACATGGAAGAAATGATGAAATAAAGCTGAGCAAAATATTAAAAGGTAGTTTGAGAAGAAAAAATTTAAAAAACAAACCCACTGCCCTCGAGTTGATTGTGGCTCACAGAAACCTTGGAGGACACAGTCAAGCTGCCCATAGCATGTCCGAGTCTAGAAATCTTTATAGGAGCAAATTGCATCATATTTCTCCTGTGGAGCATCTTGTGGGTTCAAGCTACTAATGTTTTGGTTAGTAGCCGAATGCATTAGCCATAGTGCCACCAAAATGCCTTTGAAAAGACAAAGTAAGGTATAATAAAATGCACAAAGACCTGGAGTTAGACAACCAAAAAAGAAAGAACATAGAAACAAAGGAATGAGCACTTCTCAAGCTGGAAGGACCAAAGGAAAAAATGTCAGGCTTAGAATTGCAAAGTGAAGGGTTCTGTGGGCAAAATATTAGACAACATGGGAACATGACAAGAAGATGAAACGAATACACAGTGACATTGTTCCAAAAAAGAGTTGGATGATGGGCAACCTTTTCAGAAGATAGTAGATGATGAACTCAACATATGGAAGCGATCACTCTAGTTTGCCCCAAAGGCATTGATGAAAAACAAAGCTCCAGCAATTGATGGAATACCAGTTTTGAGAATGTTTTAACAGGTACTTGAAATGCTTAAAGTGCTAACTTGTCTATGACAAGAAATGTGGAAGAGTTCTCCACCTGGCCAACCTAGGAGATAATCCAACAGAATGTGGAAATTATAGAGCAATATCACATGTACATAAAATTTAATGAAGATAATTTCAAAAGATAATTGCAGTGGGACTGCCAAATGTTCAATATCGAGTCAGAAAGGGATGTTGAACAAAATTTACATGTCAGATTCTTAGCTGAAAACACCAGAAAGGAGTTTACCTGAGAGAGTTTTAGTGACTGAGCAGAGATACTCAACTGTGCATCATAATAAACTGTAGATGACATTGTGAAGAATGGGACTTTCAGAATGCTTAATTGTGATCATGAGAAACCTGGATACATACCATAAGA